CACCACACGGGACTACATCGGAGTATTCCACATGTGGAGCAGAAGCCATATCGAGAATAATAATGGTAAAAGCGTTTTATGAGCAACCATGTAATAGTTGTTATTGTACTCGGTAAATCCCCATATGAGTTCGTTGCGTTCACCAAGCCATTTGGAATATCGTCTAAAGCTATTGTTATCGTACTTGTGTGTGGGGAGTGAGTATATCCTAGCAAACTCACTCACAAGTGTTGGTGTGCATTCTTCGCTACTTCCAAGTAATACCAGCGTTATTGCATAACGTTTGCGAATAGCGTAGAAAACGTTGTCAATTTGAGTCGGCTTTACGTCGATGATTTCCTTGTAAGACATCCATCCAAGTTTATGTCCGGAAGATTCAACCAAGTTGCCGATTGCTGGGTTATTATGTGACATAGTTTGAAAAAGTTTTCAAGTGCAAGAATATCTCAACACTTTATTGTGTTACACATCGAATATTATTCAGATCAGCAAATACATGGTACATTATTCTCTCTCATGTGTTTTATAAAGACGTGACGTGAACTCACAAAATTCTCTTGCTTGACAACATGATTACTGCCACAGTTACGTTGATTTTGTTGGTTACAGTAACCCACAATCATTGAGCTATCTATCGATCAATATTGCTTAAGCAGCCTTCTAACAATTAGCAATCAGTTATTATTATACTGTTGGCATCACGTAGATTGCGTCATCTTACTAACGATGAATTTATCAATTTCCGTGCCGATAACTTGATTCGTGTAAGCGAGCTATTCTATACGCGATTAGCAGTTAACAACAATCGTATGTGTCGAACTCGAGCAAATTGATGGACAAGATCGATCATTCATAATAGAGAAATTATCGCTCTACGGTGCGATTACCAGGGAAAAGAACATAAATGTTCTCTAAATATGTTTTTATTGAAGTAACGATGAGCTACAGAAGAATTTGATTTGATAATTAAAGATGTGAAGGCAATATTAATATTGGCTATGAAAACACGCAATTATTTTCGTCTAAACACTTGATGACAGTAGCGGGTAGAAGAGATATGCCGTCGGTGAGGCCAAACAGTATTCTTGAATTTAATAACTATGCGCAGAACTTGCATTCAGTAGGCCCAATCTCATGTTGATTTCGAAAATTGTTGATACGCCAGTTCATTATTTATTGCGAAGCTTGTTCTTGAAAGTACAACATGCGTGCAGAGGTGGAGTAAGATTAATGGGTTAAATTTGATAAAAAACTTTGACGCTTTTTTTAGCGGAGGCGTATATGTTCGGGATTCAAAATTCAGTTCGAAGCAAATTTTATTTCGCTATTATTACGTAAACAATATTCATTAAATGGGCTGGGTTGTGCTATGAGCCAGAGCATATTCATTGATAATTTAAGTTCGAAAATTGTGTAAATTCTAAATTTTGAGAATTGACAATTTGGTATGTTATGAATTGTTTCTTTTTTTTCCGAATGATGGAAGATATGATTATAGCAACTCTATATTAGATGACCGGCGGTTCTTAAGGTTTTTTTTTTTTTAGTAATTTTAGCATCAAAATGTGTAAATTTTTTCTTCATATTAGTGAGGAATTGTTTGTTCTTTCCAGACTAGAAAAGTTGTGTATGATATAGTTGAATTATTCAACAGTTGTTAAGCTGATTCTTTCTTCAGACGACAAGCACATAAAATTTGAGCTCACGTCTTTAATTGAAGAGACCAATACTCTAATATTATAGTATAGATCAAAGAATAGGAAAAACTATCATAGTCACACCCCGTTTACATCTTTCCTTTTATTTCGCCTCAAAGTGGGGATATGAGCGAGTTGGGAATATAAGTATCTTATTTCATTATATGAGGACATTTGTTTTTATAAACGTTGATACAAACGGGGATACACAATTTCAGGTAAATCTTAAATAATTTTAATAAATTAAATAATGTACTTAATCTTTCTAATCGAGCAACCACATCAACGTCATTATCATGACTATCTAACAAAGTTTTTAACTGAAAGACTAAAACGAGTAAACCCTTGAACAAACCTCGTGTAAAATTGGTTTATATTTATTCAAAATTTTGAGTCGTTAGCTTCCCTAACTCTACCTCCAAACTTGGTAAGCTGAAATCTGATAAGGAGGGTAACCGTCGATACTAACCTACAGTATATAACAATATTAATTAAACGCGTAAAACAATCTTGTAAAACAATCTGGCCGATCGAATACGAAGCCCGCTAGATTATCAGAAAGCGGGGCCCAGCTTCTCAATCGAATCGCAACAAGAATTCGTTGGAATCAGTCGTCCAGTTTACACTTTCGCGGTGTTTACATACACGGAACTGAGTATAATCGTGGAGATTCTGTCACCATACTCTTTGCGAGCTCTAGCATGATTTGTGGTTCACCAACCGAATTCGTACTGTGGGAATGGGCAGTGCCCCCCATTTAGACATATTCGGCTTAAACTCTATCAATATTCCACTCAAGTAATTAATAAATTCAACTTTAAAATCTTGATTGCTATAAAATCAACCTTCCATAGTAATAATTAAATTTCTGACCAATTATAACAAACTGATGATAACCATAACCAAGAAATTCGCAAAAGTCTTTATTTCACATCAACATCCCAACCATTACATGTAACTTGTTCATTTTTGTCCCCTCCCATATTAATATAAATCATTTTAATATTGAGTAAAGATTCTGACCGAGAATTTCCATAATAAACCAAGCCGTTATCTAATACTAAATTAATGTACAATTGGATTCGAATTAGGTGTTTTTACTGGGATTTTTCGTGGAAATACACATGATTATGATGCATGACTCTTTTAAGTTTCTGCAGGTTCAAGGAACCAACGAGCGAATATATCTTTTTATCATCCTCTTCAGCCTCCTCCAATTCATCAGCAGCTGGATCTTCATCTTCAAGAGCAATACGAGCCATGTAATTCTCCCGCTCTATAGCGATGCGAACGGCTTTTGGTACATCAGGAATCAGCAGAGCAAAGCCTAATTTGAGTAAAAACACAGCATGCTGTTGCAAGAACGAGAAAACTTGTGAGCAACAGAGAAGGGGGGTTCGGAATGAGCACTCGATAAAAAGCCACCATCAATCTGTTCTTACCTCAAATATAAGCATAAACAGCAATCTTGCAACAAGTAATTGATCGTTATTATCAATATATTTATCGAATTGTTTTCGCATATAAGTAGAATGGAATGCGATGATCCCTGCATTAGTGAGCACGGCCAAGAGCGAAATAACTCGGAGAATATTCTCCCACATGCCAATATCCTGCGCTTGATGTCCGACAGCCCTCTGGTTTGTTACAAGATACTGCGTATATATAATAATCAAAGTTACATTTTAATTGGCGTTCTTTAGTTGGAGGACGAAATGATCAATTATTTATAAGTCTCACCTTGTACGCATCCGATCGAATTTCCGTTAAATTATTCAAAAAGGCAAATAACGGGGCTAATGGAAAGGCGGTAGCAAACAAGGAGATAAAGCCAAACTGAACGACTACAAACGAATGACGAAATTTGTGTAAAATGACAATCCCAAGTTAGAGATGTGTTGTATCTAGGTTTGGGACCTGTCTCATTTTAGAACCCAAACACAGTACTGAGACAGGTCCCCAACTGTAGCACTGAATCACTATGCATGCACATACCCATTTCTTCATATTCAGATCGCACTTCGCTGTGAATGGAAACCAACCGATCGTCCTGGGTCCATTGTGGTATCTCCGAATCCTTTCTCTTTGAACGTTTGTGTTTGTCTTCAAACGCCTTCATTTCAGCAAGGATGGCACCTTTACGGAATTTACGGAGTATCCAGCTATAAATAATAATTGAACGAATGGTATGCATTAGATGATGTCGGATCACAGTTCGTCGTCTATAAGATACTCACGGAAGAAGCAACTCTTGAAATTGTCCAACGGCTTGTTTGCCAATAAGAATAATTGCTAATTGAATTGTGAGTTCGGTTAAACAACTCTGGAATTGACAGCCATCCTTGTCCGTGTCGCTGTGGAAAAACTAACATATACAACAAACCCTTAGACTCTTGTTTCAAAAAATAAACGTTATAACAAATTTAAAGAAAATGCGTACTCACTTTTTGCTTGAACAACATGATGTAAAACAAAGCAGAATAAAAATTGACGAAATCGAACAAATAGATTTTAAGGGTCAACGAATCTATGGTAATAATGATAAGTTAGGAAACTGCAATAGACTCGTAAAAGACGGTTCGTTCCATTCGCCACCACACTAACCCTCATAAGATGTGGCTGTTCTGTGGTTTTCAAAGTCAGTCAACCAAATAGCCGACTGAGAATACACCTGGTGATGATAAAACGTCCAATTAGTTCCACAAACAATGGTCTGTTATATAATGCTGCTGCTTCTCTTACCATGTTTAGTGTTATTACGGTTGCAAGATTAATCAACCCGACAACAACACTTCCCCACGCATTACCATAGGCAAAAAGACGTTGCGGATATATAAGCAGTACACCGATAGTAACCGTAACAATACATATCTGTCATCAAAGCAATATGTATCAACATCATTTCTAACGAGATCAGCCGTTCATCAATCGTGTCTTTACTTACTGAAACAAAAACAATCATCCCCGATACAAATAATTTTCGCAAACGCTTCCCAAATGGAAAATGAATCTCTTGCTTGAACGTAATCGGCGATTTTCTAACCACTAAAATAAAAAGAGCACAGATTATTAAGACATGTAAGATGGTAAACGACAATCTACAAAGGACAACATCAAGCAAACAATTAACGTACTAGTGCCAACGAATTCCGGTCGCGGTAACTCTTCCTTCTCAAATTCAAGTACGTCCCAATCGAACTGTAAAGCGGCATTATATCTTTTCCACGTCTCAAGAAAACAGGTTGCTAATAAATGTCGATGTTATTTTGGGCGCACATGAATGGCTTGTTTACATATACCCAAATTCAATTTTAATACTCACCCCAAATAGACATGATAAAAGCAAACGGAGCTGAAAGCGCGTTATCCCATATTAACGATATGTCAGAAAACCCAGTTCTGAAA